TGTCAAAAAGTAATAAGTCCAGTAAAACAAGAATAAATGAAAATGAAAATAAGTGAAATTTTGGTCCCGACTTTGTTTGTTAAGAGCTAAGTTAAGAATTGGCAATGTATTGACAATGAAACAACAGATAACCTTACGGTTTTTCCTCAGTTTAACATGTCAAAAGATTCAATTCCAAGGGTACAGTTACCGGTAAAGGTGACTAGGTATTAAGGTATCAACTCCAAGATTTATGTAAATATAATTACGTTACAAGGTTTGAGTGTAACCAAGAGTTTGTCTAGAGACATTATCAATACACATAAGTGGAAGACAGGATGTGCCGAACCAACCCGAGGACGGGGGGGGAGGGGAGGGACACTCGGGTCACCGGCAGACGCTCTGTGCTCTGTCGGCTTTTGGGTCGGCTTTGTGTGTGTGTGGGCGTCGGACCGACTCTAAGTTCTTTTTTTCGTTTATACAATTTTATAGTTACTTCCTTTTAATTAGGAGTGCAACCTAGGTCCTTTTAACTGAACGCATGGCCGGACTATTTTTTGTAACTTAACTTCTTAACAAATACTAAAATAAGTGATCGATCAACTGATAAAGAGGTAACTGACTGACAAAGTGTAAAGAGTTAAATGTATAAGACACTTCGGACAAATCAAAACAGTGAGAACCAGGTACGTTTACCTGTGGTCTCCCGTCACAATCGATAAGGGTTATTGCTAGTGTCACGCTCTCCCCTTGACGTCGACAGACTTGTCCTTGAAGTGAAGAGTCAAGGGGAAATGACGTTTCTATTTTCTTTCGTAGGGTTGACTAGGATCCTGTCGGAAATGCTGATAAAGGCGGTTTTCGTGTAAAATCTCACGCTTAGCTATTATGGCTAAAGACGTACAATAGGATTTAAGGAAAGTTATATATCGGATGGACATACGAACCATACAATGCGAAAAAAGAACGTTGGTCAGCGACCTCTTACCCACTCGGGAAAGTACGAAAACCCCCAAAAGGGAAATCACACACTAAGTCGAAAACACCGTGCAATTATTAGACGTTTCCGATGCTAGGGACACAAAGGGATGTCTCCCTCAAAAGATGAGGGTGTGTGAAGGAGGTACATTGTAGTGATACATTGGGAGGGCGATTGTTAGTCTCGTGGGACCGGAGACCAAAGTACTGTATCACCACTTTTTCTCAAAGACGGCGTGTATAAAATTATAATTCGTCTCTCTGTACCAGTCATCTCGTGTTTTATGTGTATACCTGGTACTTTTCCCGTTTACTATCCCGGGGAAATTACACAACTACAACTTTTCGTCGCGTCCCCTAGTACGTTTTAAATTTCTCTTGTAGCAGAAGGACAAACCGGTTTCTAAAATTTTTCACGGTCAAACATCCGGCCCTACGAGACAAGTAGACGGTGATAGACAAAAGATTTATCCTTGTACAGAGCGAGGAGGAACAAAGATCAAGTGCACAGTCTCTATGAAAAAGTACAAGTACCCAAAAGGTAGACATACCGAAGTAGACCACAACTGTCTCACCGAGTCCATCAATTAATACTTTTATTTGTGACAAGTCCTTGTCAGACAGGATGCATTGCGAGCACGGTCTCCGGCGAAGGACAATGCATCTGCTAACTCCAAACCTGTCAACACGTAACATTGGAAGATTCACATTTCGTCACCAATCACATTATATAATGTCATGTCCCGATAAAGTTCCACAATCCTCCTTCTTCAACTGTAGACCCTTTACTTACTAAGGGGAGTACTTGTGACTCCCAAAAGAAAAACAAAAATTAAAGAGGAATAAAGAAGAAGAGACGAAAAATGGTTTTACTCATCTTCGTCCTCCCGTCCTCAAAGACCGAGTCAGGTGACATGTATCACAAGGAAAAGGGAAGCTCCCCCCCCCAACGGGAATCTCACTGACCTGGGGTGTGAAGAAGGGTATCACCCAGTTTTTTCCTGGGCATAAATCCTTATTATACACAAATAAACGGAAAAAAGTAAACCAATTCTTTCTAGTGAACATAATATAACCAAAGTGTGATCTTTATTAAATATAAATTAAAAAAGGATAAATATTATTTAAGTACTGTGAATACCTTCGACCATATATCTTTTTGATGTTAAAGAATTTTACATGTAAATTTAAACTGTACCGTACATAGGTTTTTTGTACAAAAACTCCTTATCGACCTTATGACCTTTACTATGTTTATACCATTTAATCTTTCTATGAAGTTCCTTTTGGTGAGTGCCCAGGTTTTTCCTGGGTGAATTAGTAGAATTCCCAATTTACCGTCATCCACAATCAACATTATTATTAACACACTCTTTTGTAATGGAACGAGGTTAGGAGTTAGTAAACCGTCTAGTTACACAACAAAATGGGATTTTAATGTACAATATCTAACTAAAGTACAAGGTTGTGTGTACATAGTCTTTCACATGGAAATATAACTGAATGTAAAATAGAGGGTTCTCCAATCGAAATCACAGCGGATATGTTCGTTGAAACGTTTTATGGATGGAGGAAATATATTAATCCAAATAATGTATTAACGTTGGAAATTTGTGTGGATAACTGAATTCCACTGATAGTACGTTTTACGTCATAAACATGCAGAAACTATGTACTATACACAGGGGTCCATCAAGGTCCTTGAGTGGTATTCACAGGCTTTTGTGTTGGGAGAGAGAAAAGGAGGTAATGGGTTTAGAGAAATTTTTACCCCGACGTTGCCTAGACTATGTCTGACTAGGTCTAAACTTGATGAAGATACCTGCAGTGTCTTCACGCGATGCCGATAACCCGTGAGGGGTTAGTCCTCCTCTGTCGGTGTCGTAACGGCAACCTTTTCGCGACCTCTGCGGGGGAGACATCTATGTAATACGGTCCGGAATCTCCACGAACAAGGTGTCTTAGTCGGTACGTTTCTGTCCCAATTTAACTCACTTTACTCCTTACCATTTACGTAC